ATTTATTCATATCAGTGTAAATAAATCAGGGAGAGAACATTTTCCAAAAATATCCTTCAAGCACTCCAGGGAGAAAACACAGTTAATATTCTTGATCCTTATCAAGCTAGACTCTGAGGACCATACTTTTTGGAGAAAGGTCAATTCGGTCCCGCCATCTGGTTTGGGTTTTGTTTTCTTCTTCTTCCCTTATACTTACTTAACACAATTTGGAGCAATTTTAAGCAAATGAGGTTTCACTGTCATTTTTATACTGGGATCATTCTATGGAACATATAATTAAATGCCATAGCCCTCACAAAGAATTTATGATTTCCTGGGAGCACAGTCTACCGCATTCATTTGTGTGTTAAATGTACAAAGAATAAGGAGGCCGAATAATAAAGATCATGTATTTTCTGGGGCTTTTCAAGCTGTAAAGTTTTATTTCTTCAAAAGGTTGTGCACAATAAATTACACTGTTCATAAAAATGAACTAAAACAGAGATCAGAGAAGGAATAAGGAGGGGTCAGTTTCTGTGCAACCTTCATCCTTAATGAAGGATGCTTTGGAAGGATCAATTTGGAGAGAAAAAAATCAAATTAAAATCCATGCTATACTCATCCTATTCATATACATTAACTCTGCTCAATGTTTATTTTGTATAAGATCTATGTTCTTCTAGTGTCCCAGTATTCTGCAAATCACCCCCCTGGGGGGATGGCCACACAGCAATCCGCCCTTCTCCATCCTCCTCCTGGGATTTTGGGCACACCTGCACATGCTCCTCGCATGTTTCAAGACGTGGGTCGGACTCGAACCCCAGAGGCCACGTGGGAGTCCAGAGTCTTAGCCACTATACCACCCGCTGGTCCCAAGATAGGTACTAGGCTCAAGGAGGGTCTCCTTTCACTCTTAAAGGCAGACAAAGAAAAGCAATTGAAATGCTCTGTTTAGTCATTTCAAAATAACAATAAACAGCCATCTCAGCCGTCTCCCCATCTCAGCCGTCTCCCCATCTCAGCCGTCTCCCCATCTCAGCCGTCTCCCCATCTCAGCCGTCTCCCCATCTCAGCCGTCTCCCCATCTCAGCCGTACAACGCCCCCTTTACTTTTGCCATTGCACCTATTATCATCATCAGAAATCCTGAAAATACCAGATAATAAAAACTCAGGAACATCTGTATATATTTTTTTCAGTTTATACTCAAAGTCCACCTCAAGCTATGTACTGCCTTCATCCCTAAGATTCTCTGAAATTCATTGCTTTTATTTTTCCTTTGGGAAAGTAAGAACAAGTCACATTCTGGGAGGAAAGTGCCATTCGTTTCCCTCTGTGGAACCTCCCTGCTCCCTCACTTAGTTGAAGCTGGACGTCCAGATCTGACTTTACTCCTTACTAGGGAGAAGTCAGTTTCTTCCTGGGTTGTGAGCATCTTGCAGAGTTCCTCGACTACAGAAAATGCTCAATATAGGGGCAGCCCCTGGCCTAGTGGTTAAGGGAGCTGGATCCCACATGCCCGGCTGTGTCATCTGAGTCCTGGACCCAGCAGTTTGAGAAACACACCAGGCATGTCTCTCAAATGCCGACAGGGTGGAGAAATGGAGACGGGACTGTGCCATGACAGTCCCCATAAGGGGTGCTTTCTCTCTCTCTTTCTGTCTCTCTGGTGAGTGCTCATGCATTCTGGCAAAATATTTTTTAAAAAAGAAAAATAATGTCCAACGTCAATTTAGCGACTGGGTGAATGAAAGAGTACTCTGTAATGTTCACTGTAGTGAGATGAATCATTTCCATCCCTTTATCTTACTATGGCTTGAAACCTGCTGTCAGGTAGGCTTGACTAACAGGCTTAAGGCCTCTCCCAGAGAAACACATCCTAGCACAGCGCTACGCCGTTAGACAACAGCACCTGCGTTCAAGCAAGCTGTGCTCACATGAAGTATCTCATCTCTCGTCTCTGCCACACTTAGAGCTTTCACCATGAGGAGAGAGAATCACTTTGGAATGTGAGGGTAAGTAAGGTGTTCCCAGCAGCAGAAATATTAAACATGTGTTCATTTAGCCTGGGCCTCTCTGGATGAAACCACCCGCTCCAACCTTCTTGGCCAGTTCCTGTGTTAAGAAGATACGGTGTGGGGAGCCAGCAGGTGGTGTGGTGGTTAAGGGCACTGGACTCCCACATGGCTGACTACGGTTCGAGTCCCAGACCTGGTGGCCTTCTCACTTTCTCTCTCTGCCCCTCCCTGGTCAAATTAAGATAAATAAATAATTCTGTTTTAAAAAAGAAGATGATATAGTGTGACTTGCTCTGAGAGGAATCTTTTTTTCTCTCCAGACTCACAGTTGAATCTTGTTCGTCTCTATGTTTCCTTTGCTTTTACTTCTCTCTCTCAATGACAATGGGATTTGCCCCTTAGTTTCCCTTCAAAGATCCAGGCAGAGAAGGAGTGAGGGGAGGTCTCTTTCCAGCCAGCTCCTGGCTTCTCCGTGGTGTAGCATTCAGAGGGTGCAAACCCCCAGTAGATGTGCCTGCGGGTCAGGGCCAGAGAAAGGCTTCCAGAGGGGGTGGTGACGTCAAGGCAAGGTAAACTGCCATATGCTAAGAGGGAGCACAGTCTTCCTCTAAGTCAAAATTTGCAAATAAGAATAACCCTTGAAAAAGACCCTTTAGACACAGATCAATGCTTAGGAATGGTTCCAGCCACTTACAACTCCCTTCTGGCATTTCACAGATGTTATTTACTTATTGTTAGAGAGATTTTTGCTGTAGGGTGCCTGAGAGACAAAGTGAGAAATCAATCCCCCGGGGGGTGGCCACGCAGCAATCTCTTCTCCATCGTCCTCCTGGGATTTGGGGCACACTTGCACATACTCTCGGCGTGGGTTTCAAGATGTGGGTCGGACTGGAACCCCAGAGGTCATGTGGTAGTCCGGAGCCTTAACCACTATGCCACCCGCTGATCCCAAGGTACCTTATTAGGCTCGAGGACGAGCCTCCTTTCAATCTGCAGCTCAAACCCCTGCTCTGCGCTTAGCTTAGGGCATAGTGAGGGCTTGTTGGATGAGTCTGGGGAAAATGCGTCCCCTCTTCTCTCCTTGGTCAACTCGGGTCACCTTGACAGGGCGCTTCTCTGTATCTGTGGGGCTAGTTCTGTGGTTCTGCGGCCTAAGCTGCTCCGAAGATCCCTCCACCTGCTCTGGGGATTTCCTGGGGGGGGGTCTCATCCTCTAAGCTCCCGAACCCGCCTGAAAGCAGAACTATAAGCGGTCCCCACCCCAGCCCCCAAACTCTAGGACGGCAGTAGGGCTGCACCAACCATTAAATGGCCATCATCCATTTTTAATCAGAACGATCACAAGAAAGATGGTAAGCGAATCCCAGTCGCAAGTCAATTTAAATAACATTCCTAGGGAAATCCAATCACTTAAAACTGAGACACCTACTGGAGCGAGAACCCCCGCCCGTCTGGCGAGGAACAGCGCAAGGGCTGAATTAATCGAGATCGAGGGGCTCCCGGGCTGAGAGCGCAGCGTTAACCCTTCCAGTCCCAGAGAGTGACAAGGCAGGGGAGGGAGAGCGCGGCCCGCCGGGGCCAAGATGCCCACGGCCGCCCCGCGCAGGCCGCCTCCGTGATCTGAGCGGCTCCGGACACCTGGCGCCCGACCCGCGCGGCTGGGCGCACGGGGTTAAGGGCAGGAGCGCGGAAGGCTGCTCCGGCGGCGAAGAGCCGCTGCCTCCCGCAGCCTTGGCGCGCCTCGGGCTCCTCCTCCCGCCCCAGCGTGGCCAAGTGAGCACTGCTTCGGCCGCAGGTAGTGGGGCTCGGGAGGAGGCGCGCGCGGGATCCCAGCGGAGCGCCGGAGCCCGGCCGACGGACGCGCAGACAGACGGAGTCCCTATCCTCCATTCCCGGACGTTGGCAGAGGTCTGCGCGCGCCATGTGGGGCGCCGGGGTCCCGGCAGAGGGCTTGTGGGTGGC